CGCTATCATGTTTATTTCTTGTTCAAGGGTATGACTGTTATTTTTTCACAGGGCGCTGAGGAGCTTCGACGTTTCAATCACCTCTTAATAGAAAATGCTGCATGTTCATGAAGCTGCTTGAATTGCTGATTCTGATCCTATGGTGTATTCACAGTTGCAGGTATTCATCCATTTTCTATCCCCTTAAGCATCATAGGGGGCTGGATCTATCCCAGCATGCATTGGACAAAAGGAAGGCTATCACAAGGCACATGCGTAAAGGCAACCTCACTCACATTAACACCTATGGGCAACTCATGGGCCAGTTCATCTTATCTACATGTCTTTCAACAGCAGAAGGAAATTTAAGCACCTGGAGGAAACCCACAAGGACAAATGTCTATTTTATCAAAGTAGATATCTGCATATCCAACTATCTCAGTTGCAGGTGTGTAGGAAACGTATCACTAGATTCTTGAGAGAGGAAGATCCCACGAAATGTTTCGATCATTCTGAACCTTCGCCAAGAGAAATACTCTTGACAGTCCACAGGAACCAAAATGTAAGTATTATCATTAGGGCTGTCAAAAGAACGTGTTAATTTCTATTAGTTAATCACAGAAAAAAATAACGCATAAAAAAATTTAGCGCGCTCTGTGGTGCCCTTTGACTTGGTGTGTCATTGAAGGCCACAGTGGCTTTGTCACATGATGGAGGCAGACAAGACGACGCTGCTTGGCAACAAGAATGGAACATATTAAATTAAAAACGCCCAGATGGAGCTGTTGATAGAAGCACTGTCGTCTGCAGTTTCTGCAGTAAGGAATTTTCGTACCATCGAAGTACTTTAAACCTGAAATATCAACTCAACGCAAAGCAAAGACCTAGAGGTCCATGCTAGCACAGCCTCTGATGCTAGCAGTCAGCATCGTCAACCCACACTTGACCAGGTGTTAAGACACAAACTGAGTAAATCTACCTTTGACCGACTAACAAACTCCCTTACAAAATGGATTGCAGACTAGTTTCGGTGGGGACAGGGGGACAATTGTGTCCAAAATCCAGCAACTTAACTACATCAAATCTGCCAAAATTCATTTGAATCAAAATTTTTTCAATACTTTAACAGCAAAAATTGATGTTTGCGAATTATTCAGATAATGAATCACAGAGCGTGCAATTAATTAAATTTTTCTAACCGCTTGACAGCCATAATTATCAACACATTATAAAGCTGAGCAAGAGCAGTTTGCAGGATCTTCTTTCCTCAAGAAACATGTTGTCTATAAAATATCAGAGAACTGCTTAAAGTAATCATAAACTAGGGATGCACCGAATATTCGGTAACCGAATATATTCGGCCTAATATTGCAAAAAAACACACATTCGGTATTCGGTGGAATAAGTTAAAAGCAAGGCCGAATAATAGCTGCGTGTTTTGATAACGCAATCAAACAGCGTGCCGTGACGGGCGGAGTAAAATGTCGGCAGTGTGGCGATCCGTCCGTCACCGCACTCACATTTGCGACTAAAAATAATTTTGAGCAAGCAAAATAGGCTTAAATCATTCAGCACGCTGTGCGAGCAGCCTACAGATTTCAACCAGCAGCAGAAACAAAAGGCGAATCCCACCGATTGTGGGTTGAACGGGGGTCACAGACACAGTCAGTAATGTATTCCTGTCAAATACGGCGGCCATCGGCTTACCGGCAATGGAGAAGTCAGCTCCAATAATATCCTCTTCTTGGCATGTGGACTGCCCAGAAGTACCTGAACAGCCGAGCCAGCCGAACACAGGTATGTGACGTGTCAGAGGAGAAACGAGCCGTTCACGGCCCACAAACCTCACCGCACTTTAGGGACTGTTCTTTACTTATGAAGGGACTGTCAGGGGAGGAGGGTGGCTGGATGATTTTTATTTTATTTATTTATTTTATTTTGATCCCCCCTATGTTAATCACTCATCGATGCTGTTTTTGAAGTATGAATAAGGCAATAAGTAATTTATTCCATTGAAATATCATTGATGTAGCCTATAATAGAAAAGTGATTTATCTTTTCATAAATGACAAAAGGCACATCTGCCTCATTTTCACTGTGGTATCGTGATACTACTCAGAACCATGATATTTTCATTGGTATCGTACAGTGGGATCCAATTTTGGTACCGTGACAACACTAATCTGGAGGGGGTTCATCTGCAAAAACTAATGAAAAACTAAACAACGATATTCGGTATTCGGTACTCGGTATTCGGCCAATCGTTTAATATTATTCAGCTTCGGCCACAAATTTTCATTTCGGTGCATCCCTATCATAAACTATCAAAAAATCCCACAATCCCTGGGGATAAAGCCTCAAGATTGGATGTTCCAGTACTTAGTTATACAGAAACAGGAACTGCAGATGTTTGACATTCTTGCATGACAAATGACTTTTTTTTCACATTTTACTGATGATCAAAACCAAACTGTTAAGACTATTCGATAAACTTATTTAAGTGTCAAAGCACTAAAACCCAAGTACTCATGAGGAGAACATGCAAACCCCCCTCTGAGCATCGTCTTGTTTGATCACCGTTGCAGCCAAGTACAGGTATGGCGAATCAAACAAACCCTTTACAGTCTCAAAATACTTGCCAAAACATCCACCGACAAACCATTAAAGTCTTAAATCGTAAAACTTAAAACCCCCTTTAAAAAGCTATGGCTGGTGCACTCAACATGTGGCCTTACAATCACTGATTCAGTGCCTGCTCGTATGCTATTTTATGGCCGCTTTCATCACAAATGCCTCACAGTACAATAACAATATAGCATGACTTCAGTGTTGCTACAATAACTTCCCTTTGAGCTCTACAGAATGCCCTTAAAAACAATGTTAATGCACTGGAGCACTAACTGGGATCAATGCCAACATTTAAATCAGGATTAGGGTCTGTTAACAGCGGCAACTGAATAGAATTAGTGAGACAGTAGAGAAAGGAGACGCACATCCCTTTTGGTTGAATGTTACCATTTCACCAAAAGCCCCATTCTGATGCAGGCCACACGGCATTACAGCGTACTCAACACATACTCCCTGTGTCAAACACACTCGATAATACCGCGACTAACTGTTTAGAGCGAGGCATATTCAAGACAAAACTCAATTTCTGAAACTATTAATCACTATGAAAGTGGATCCACTGGGGGCTGAGGAGACATTTTTGTCCTGAGCAAATAATGTAATCACTCCGCTTCACCTAGTCTTCATTTAGCCACTCACTCCGTGTGTTCTGAGAGTTAGAGCACACACGCTCTGACCTTTTCCTTATCATAAATCACATACTACTGTTTGGCTGCCAGTATTTTGTTTAACCCAATTTGTCACTGAGGATACCCCCTTCCACCCTCGCTGCGGATTCACACAGTGGGACCGGGAGCATGGGATTAGTGGGCGGATCAAAGCGTGCCATCCAGACCTCTCTCTCGCCTTGTAATCACGGATGTCAGTGGCCTCCGGAGCTGATAAGCTTGGGCTACTGGTGGTTACTAGGCAGAGAGGGACAGACTAGAGCTGCAACTAGCATTTATTTCCAAATATTGATCTGTCAATTACATTTTTAAACATTTAGTTTAATAAAATAGAAAAATAAATGCTCATCAAATGTTCCCGGAGGTTAAATATTCTGTGTTCAACATCATCAAGTCAGATTTAGCACTTGTTCCACGTTAATCAACTAGTGGATGTATTACTACAATGATATAAAAGAACAATGAATATTTACACAAAAGAGGCAGCCAGCAGCACAGACTGACAACCAGACAGACGTAACGCACACACACATTCACACATTATTGTGACAGAAACAGGTCACGGAAGGTGTGCCAAGAATATCAGACAAATGTGCTGTCAGAGGGCAATTGCTCTGGTGTGATAGCTGTTTCGGCCTCTGCGGGCGTGACAGAAAGAATAACCAAAGACATTCTGCACGAGGGCAACCCCGATCTATTCACAGCTCCAACTCCCAGAGAATTCCCACCATACAGTAATGAAGGCTCAGTGGTATTTCAGAGCAGACTTCGGGGCGAATAAAAGTCAATAGAAACGTTTGCCACAGCACACTTTTACCCCGCCGCTGTGGTCATGTAAACTTCCTGTGGCACTCGACACTTCCTCGTATTGGCTTTGGAAACATGAATGAGCTGAAGTGTAGAGGGAGCTTTACAGAAAGGGAGGCACGTGACATGTACAATCCAAACCTCTAATCACACCACCATGTACGCTTATGTTTCGTTTGAGTCTAACTATACTCCGCTTTGAGTTTCTCCGCAAAGGATTTATAGTAAACTACAGCTTTTCTTTTCCCTTTGACTCGTCTGCTGTATGATGTGGGTAAAATTTAAAGCCAAATAATCCTTGACTTTATTTGTTCAACTCCATATTGGACTGCCAAACTGTACTGAAGAGCTACTCCAAAAAGGTGAACAAAAGTAAAAGCAGATAATTATCTTTGGTCCCTTTAACTCAGAACTCTAGACCAACAAGGGATCAATTATCACCCTCTAAACCGAAGCAAATCTGATGATGCTGTAGCTGTCATTGCAGAGCACCTACTAATTAATAGCTGACACATTTCAGTCTTGCTAACCTGATAATGAGCAACCTTGGAAGTGTTGCACTGCAAAATGTGCTGCAAGAATAAGATGTTCAACCATACAAGCCTATCAACTTGAGGTGTGGCACTTGTGTGCAGGTATTGCACCTTGCCCCTTCACCTGTGCAAACCTGTATGCACCATGAACATCTGGGCTGGGGCCAAGAAGTGGGCTTGTTGTGGCAGGAAGGTGTGAAATCTGTGGACCAAATTGGCAAACCCAGGACAAAGATGCTGCAATCCAGCTTTACAAACAATGCATAGAGGGATAGGGCATGGATACCCAGGCAACCCCAAGGTGTGAATGAGAAGCAGTTCATATGTAAGAGGGTGTGTACATATACAACATAGTCTGGAGGTGTGAATCAACTTTGCAACTCACCTGTGACATCTGGGGTCTGAAGTTAATCTCCTTCAGGTCCACTGATCCGGGCGAGAGGTTGTGCAACATCTGGCACAGGAGCACCCCGTCTCGCAGGGCCTGTGCCAAGTCGAAGACGGCCGCCGAGGGCCACACGACCCGGTGGTTCGGGGGCAGGACCTTGCAGTCTATCAACCACCGCCCGCATTGTCTCCACTCCTCCATATCGGCTCCGGAGACTCTCCTCGCAAAAGTAAAACCGAGTCCTCGAGCTGCTTCACACCGGGCTGGCTTCACAGCGCACACACAGGCACTACGGTCGGTTCCCTACCTGCTCCGGAAGTCTTAATCATTCACTATCAGCTCGATAATCAGGCAATTTCGCAACTGTATGTCACCGCGCTATATCCCCATCCCAGACGCATGTCAGCTCTCCTGTCTCCACAACATGGAAATGAAGCCCTGGAAAAGACTCAAATAAAAACACAGATCCAGTTGAGAGGACGGCGGCGGTGTAAGCAGACAACAGAGGCGTGCTATGGGAATTTTCTCCTCTTCATTCTTAAAAAGTTTGCTTCGCATATCCGATCCAAAAAGGCGTGAATGGAGAGGTTACAGCGGTGGCTAATGAAACAGCTGGGTGCAGCGGTTTGTCATGTAGCGACTTCACTGGTGTCTCACATTTCAGTGAACCAAACAGCACAGGCTGCTACACAATGTGGACAAAACAGCCTCTCAAGTCTGTGTAGTTGTTGAACCAGAGCAGGAGTCACCCACCGTATTTGCATTTAACGTTTCCTCGGAAGTTAGAAACAAGAACTTCCCGTAATTTCTACAGCAAACAATAAAGAAAGGGAGATGATTCAACACAGCAGTCGGGATATCCCTCTTTCCACAACACAGTCTAAACAACAAGCCTCTCCGGCAGAGGAAACATGCCTAAAGGAAGGATAAAAAATGGTGTTTACATTTATCCGGTTAACGTTACTTTGCTTGGCGCCCAAAAATAACGTTAAATAACGTGTGTCCAGCTCGGCTTGTCTGTGATTCCTGCCTCCCTTCCGTCTCCCCTCTCCTCGTTTCCCTTTCGGACGGAGATGTTTAGTGGTCCCAACTCCACAAACCCGAGCTGCACGAGCCTGAGGAGAAAGGCTGCTCGCGCGGTGGTGACCCAGGTGGGTTAGACGAGCTCGTGCGCTCTGAGTGTCTCGCGCAAAGGTAAGACTTGAATAGGGTGTCCACACTTTGGTGAAAGTGGCTCCAGACTCCAAGAATGCGAGTTACAGGGAATATTTTTGAACAGGGGGCTGTGGATGCGCCCTCTGACGGAGGAAGCGCACACTGCGCGTGCTACTGAGAGAAGGGGATTAAAGGTACAGTTCAATCAAAACACAGGTGCGATAGACTATGCAGGTGTGCTTTGTTAGGAAGTAGCTAATGTTATGTCGATTATTGTGACTATTCATTTAATTATATCAGAAACAACTCTAGATTATTAAAGGGGCAGTCCACCAATTTTACTACTCAAAATCAGTTGGTTAGTCACAGCAAGTACTACACAGGCACAATAGAAAAGCAGGGGTATAAACTGGGGGCATGGGGTTTTGTGTACATATCGAATAGCATTATGGGAAATGTAGGATCCATTGTTTGATTTGAAGCTTGACCCCCCCACTAGCCACCACACACACTCACAGACATACAGACCACTTAGTATGCAGTTATTGATGGCCTATTCCTTCATTATTGTTGTTGTTGTTGTTGTTGTTGTTATTCGCATTTCAACAATCTGCTAACATTATACAAAAACAGAAGATATAGAATACAAAATGTATAGATGTTTACAAAAGTCCTGCCTTTTCTTTACAATAAATACATGCATGGTGACAAGCTGCATTAACGCAATTGAAAAATAAAAAAAAAAAAAACACACTCACAAACATTCATACAAAATAAGTAAATATGAACACAAACAGAAAAAATAATAATAAAATAATAAATTATAATAAATTAAATAGTAAATAATGAAATAATATAAGTAATAATAGAATTAAATGAAAATGAAAAAGACAAAAAAAAGTTAACTGTCGAGTTGCATTATGGGAAATGTAGGATCCACCGTTTTATTTGGAGCTTGACCCACACTAGCCACACACTCACAGGTATACAGTCCACTCAGAATGCAGTTATTGATGGCCTATTCCTTCAATATTTTTGTATCATTATTATTATTATTATTATTATTACTATTATTGTTGAGGCAGCAGTAGCTTAGTCCATAGGAACTTTGGTTGGGAACCTGAGGGTCACCAGCTCAAGTCCCCATCCGGAAGGACGATGACAAAGAAGAAGAAGAAGAAGAAGAAGAAGAAGAAGAAGAAGAAGAAGATTTACTTACAAAGCACTTTCCAAGATAGAGGTACAAAGTGCTTTACATGTCAATAATTAAAATAGACAAGACATGAAAACAACAACTTTTGAAAAAACTGATAAAAAATACTTAAGCGTATAAAAACTGAGTAAATAAAACACAGTATAAATTAAATTAAAACTCAAGTAAAATCAGGAAAGGCTCTCTGATAAAAGTATGTTTTAAGAAGGGACTAAAAGGAGATCAATGACTCAGCTGACCTGATTTCCTCGGGCAGACAGTTCCAGAGCCTTGGGGCCCTGACAGCAAACACTGTCCCCTTTAGTTTTCAGATGGGCCTCTGGAACAGACAAAAGACCTCTGCCCGAGGACCTCAAAGTACGTCCTGGCGTGTATGGCACTAAGAGGTCAGAGATATACTTGGGAGAAAGGCCATGAAGAATCATATACGTGGACTGGTAGCTGGGGAGGTGTCAGTTTGCCTCCTGGGCTCCCCAAACTCCCCGTTTAATATGTGTCCCCAGAATGCTGAATTGAAACCTATGCCCTTGCTGCTGTGCACTTCCTCCCCATCACCAAACAGCAGACAGACAGAGTTAGAGGCTAGCTGGTGAGTTTTGTGGAGCATTAAGCAGCTAAAGAGCCAGATATTTCCCTGGGGAATTGACAGAGGGCAAAACAAAGCTAACAGGAAAGTGAATGTTTGACTTAGATCCATCAGGTGGCTAGACACACAACTCCAAATGAATGTTAATGTTGCTCCATGCCTGCTTGATTTGTAAATAAGCAGCAGTTTCTAACAAGTTTGCAAGATCAATTAAAGAGGTTTTGTCAGTGTTGTGTTCACGACTTGTTTCTGCTGCCACAGCTAAGTGGCTGAAAAATCAGTTGCTGCAGGTTAAAAGAAACATTTCAGCTTCAAGCTAACAGGTCAAGACTTTTTCAGGCTTGTTCTGTCATTCTGTCTGGATGCAATTGTGTGCACACGGATATCCTATATGCCCTCTACAACTCTGTGAATCCTGTCCCAATCCTTGGCCACCATTACTCCCGATAGCTGTTGCCATTCTTTTTTTAACAGTCTTCTGGATTTTATTTTGTTCTCCTCTTTAATTTCGCACTTCCCCCGTTCCTTCCCCAATGTCTCTTCTCATTAGATTTCCCAATGTCAGCGCTTGTTCATAAAATAATCACAATTGGTCAATTAATCACTTAATTGTCACTAAAATCAATACGCCACCTGTTTCTTGTTAAACCCTCTTTGTCATGTCTCATTACTTTCTCGGCTCAGTCATAATCGTCCTTTTCCACCTTCAGATTCCTACGGGGACGTAACACATTTGGCTAATTTATCTTGAGGTATAAAGCAGCAGAGAGCAGCGCAGCAAAGTCTGACGTTCTGAGCTTCTTTGATATCTGACAGAGGACTTTTTTTTTTTTTTTTTACAATTGCAAAGCTGGATTTATGCATTTAGACCATGGTCTGTCTGTCTGTCTATCTATATAATAGATAAAGACATATATATATAATCCCCCTCTCACCCCTCCACCATGGGGGTTGGTGGTGTGTCTTCCTCAAGCTCGGGTCTTCTACCAGTGGCCTAGGAATTTAAGGGTTCTGCGCAGTATCTTAGCTGTTCCTAGGACTGCACTCTTCTGGACAGAGACCTCAGATGTCGTACCTGGAATCTGCTGGAGCCACTCTCCTAGCTTGGGGGTCACAACTCCGAGTGCTCCGATTATCTCTGGCACCACTGTTGCCTTTATTCCCCACATCGTTTCTAGCTCCTCTATCAGCCCTTGGTATCTTTCAAGCTTCTTGTGTTCCTTTTGCTTGGGATTGCTGCATCTATCACCACTTCCTTCTTCTATTGTTTGTCGATCAACACGATGTCTGGTTGGTTAGCCATCACCATTTTGTCGGACTGGATCCAAACTCCCACAGGATCTTAGCTCCATCACTCTCAACCACCTAATGAGGTGTCTTCCATTGTGACCTTGGGACTTTCAGCCTATCCTCAGTGCAGATGTTCCTGTACACCGAGTTAGCCACTTGGTTATGGCGTCCCATGTACGCTGTTCCTGCCTGCATCCTACACCCCGCTATCATGTGCTGAACTGTCTCAGGAGCATCTTGCACAGCCTGCACCTGGGGTCCTGTGTGGCGTGGTAGACCTCTGCTTCTATATATATATATATATATATATATATATATATATATATATATATATACATATATACACAGTACAGGCCAAAAGTTTGGACACACCTTCTCATTCAATGCGTTTTCTTTATTTTCATGACTATTTACATTGTAGATTCTCACTGAAGGCATCAAAACTATGAATGAACACATGTGGAGTTATGTACTTAACAAAAAAAGGTGAAATAACTGAAAACATGTTTTATATTCTAGTTTCTTCAAAATAGCCACCCTTTGCTCTGATTACTGCTTTGCACACTCTTGGCATTCTCTCCATGAGCTTCAAGAGGTAGTCACCTGAAATGGTTTCCATTTCACAGGTGTGCCTTATCAGGGTTAATTAGTGGAATTTCTTGCTTTATCAATGGGGTTGGGACCATCAGTTGTGTTGTGCAGAAGTCAGGTTAATACACAGCCGACAGCCCTATTGGACAACTGTTAAAATTCATATTATGGCAAGAACCAATCAGCTAACTAAAGAAAAACGAGTGGCCATCATTACTTTAAGAAATGAAGGTCAGTCAGTCCGGAAAATTGCAAAAACTTTAAATGTGTCCCCAAGTGGAGTCGCAAAAACCATCAAGCGCTACAACGAAACTGGCACACATGAGGACCGACCCAGGAAAGGAAGACCAAGAGTCACCTCTGCTTCTGAGGATAAGTTCATCCGAGTCACCAGCCTCAGAAATCGCAAGTTAACAGCAGCTCAGATCAGAGACCAGATGAATGCCACACAGAGTTCTAGCAGCAGACCCATCTCTAGAACAACTGTTAAGAGGAGACTGCGCTAATCAGGCCTTCATGGTCAAATAGCTGCTAGGAAACCACTGCTAAGGAGAGGCAACAAGCAGAAGAGATTTGTTTGGGCCAAGAAACACAAGGAATGGACATTAGACCAGGGGAAATCTGTGCTTTGGTCTGATGAGTCCAAATTTGAGATCTTTGGTTCCAACCGCCTTGTCTTTGTGAGACGCAGAAAAGGTGAACGGATGGATTCCACATGCCTGGTTCCCACTGTGAAGCATGGAGGAGGAGGTGTGATGGTGTGGGGGTGTTTTGCTGGTGACACTGTTGGGGATTTATTCAAAATTGAAGGCACACTGAACCAGCATGGCTACCACAGCATCCTGCAGCGACATGCCATCCCATCCGGTTTGCGTTTAGTTGGACGATCATTTATTTTTCAACAGGACAATGACCCCAAACACACCTCCAGGCTGTGTAAGGGCTATTTGACCAAGAAGGAGAGTGATGGAGTGCTGCGGCAGATGACCTGGCCTCCACAGTCACCGGACCTGAACCCAATCGAGATGGTCTGGGGTGAGCTGGACCGCAGAGTGAAGGCAAAGGAGCCAACAAGTGCTAAACACCTCTGGGAACTCCTTCAAGACTGTTGGAAAACCATTTCAGGTGACTACCTCTTGAAGCTCATGGAGAGAATGCCAAGAGTGTGCAAAGCAGTAATCAGAGCAAAGGGTGGCTATTTTGAAGAAACTAGAATATAAAACATGTTTTCAGTTATTTCACCTTTTTTTGTTAAGTACATAACTCCACGTGTTCATTCATAGTTTTGATGCCTTCAGTGAGAATCTATAATGTAAATAGTCATGAAAATAAAGAAAACACATTGAATGAGAAGGTGTGTCCAAACTTTTGGCCTGTACTGTATATACATATGTATACATATATATGACATTCAATGGAACAATATATTCAATTA